AACTCACTGAGCGCCCTACTACGTCTATGCCCAGAGGACCATGATCCACCCTCCTGGACCACATGGTCTAGAAACCGGGGAGGGTAAATTGCAACTAAAACCAGGCTCCCAGACAAAACCACAATTCAAACAAATCTGATGAATATTAGTATCATTTATTCAAGGTACTAAAAGCTTTAATGGATCATCAGAATCGATCCTCGCACCAATCCTACGAGACAGACACTACTACCACCACCATTTTAAACAGACGGAGACTAGTGTTTAACTTGCTGAGGATGGTGATGTATTGGTAGAGCTGAGATCTACCCAGGCAGTGAACCCACACTGTGGTCTGAAGTAAACAGACACGATAATCTCACCCCTCTATAGCACGGCAGTATACGGCACACACACAGTCAACCAGGCAGGGCAGACGCCATTCCCACCAGATGCCACCTGTACCCATGGGCGGTCATACAGTCCCGCGGGATCAAAGGTAGCAGCCTGTTTCAGGCAGCTAGGACACAAGTCCGACCCTTTCCCGCCCTCATTTCACATCCCTCCGAACTGCTGCCAAGTCTGGCCGCACACCAGGGTGTGGCCCCATCACTGGCACAGAGCATCAGAAATGGTTCCCGTCTTAGCCAGATCTTAGCCCAATGCTTTTCTACTTTCATAACGTATCTGATGTTCTCTTTACGATAAATCTGAGGGAAAGGAAACAGAGTGTTGGTGTAGCAGAAAAAAAGGTTGACTCTGTTAAAGTAGAACGTATGAATTCAAGACGTATCTTATGCACAAGCTCCCAAACCTCCTTCAACTACAAAGCACAACTCCCTCCCACGTTTGGTGTAAAAAATGAGAACACACGGGCAGCGAGGACTCTTACACACCAATCGGACACCGGATGTTTTGTTTTCGATTCATCACCTCCTTTTCTGTTTGTTTACAGACTAGGAAACTAATATGTGGAGGAACGAAACCACATAGTAGATGGGTCATCGCGAGCACGGGCTCTACTCAGTCCATCTGTAGCACTAACTCGGTGTTTATGGGAACTTTCTAGGCTTTCATCCAGTAAGTCTTCCACGCAGAGAGCACCTACTGTATACACAACAAAACGAAAACCCGAGACAGTCTTCAAGATGCTCACAATGAGCTAAGGAAGACAGTCCTGAGAACCCTTCCCACCATCTCATGTGGGCCAAACACGTTTTTCTCACAGGATGCATGGTAAAAACACGCTCCCAAACAGCCAGGCATATGCTTCCACAGCCTAACCCATATCCCGACCGACACTCTGGGGAAGATACCCGAGGAGCAGTTACTGTGTAGGGAGCACTCCACACAAACACAACCGTTACCATTCAATCATCTCATACCCTCAGAGCGCATCACTTACATTTGGCATCCTTTCGCCTGGCTGTGAGCAGAAAGTCCTTGATTTCCTCGATTTTGCGAGGCTGCAATACAAACGAAACAGCGTAAACCTCTGACATGCACTTTTAAAAAAAAATCAGTATAATTTTAAAGCAACTTCACGCTTACAGGAAAAACTGAGCAGAAAGTAGTTTTCCAAATACTCCCTCTCCACCGCTCAGTTTCCTGTTATTAACATCTTGCACTGACGTGGTAATTGGTTACAAGTGGTGAACCAGCTGTTGTTAGCTGACACCAACTCACGGTGATCTCACGTTTAACCGAAAAAAAAAAAAAAAAAAAGACCAGATTTACTGGCCTAAAGGAGACTGGAGAAACCCCGAGTGTATTGCCCGGACCGTTGGTTTGAGTCCATTGCTGGATGAACTGATACCTGACGCGTTATTAACAAACTGCACAGCTGACATCAGAGCTCACGCTTTGTTTCGCGCAGTTGGATGGACACTGACAAGTGTATAAAGTCTTGTATCCACCGTTACAGTATCATGCCGACTCGTTTCACTGCCCTAAAAATACTCTGTGCTCCACTGGCAACCCCTGATCTTGTCACTGTCTGTAGTTTTGCCTTTTCAGAAAGCCACATAACTAGCATCACACACTATGTGAGACGCACTTTTTCTGGTGATGGTCATCATGTTGACCACCCCTCCTGGGCCTCCGGAGATTCTCGGAAAACTCATCCTGCCCTGGCTCCGGGGCCCGCGCCCCTCTCCCGAGAAGGTTCCAGGCAGAGGCCGTACTCACCATAGCGACGACGCGCGCAGAGAGGCGGGCGCGGACCAGCACCTGAGGGGAAGACATTCCTCGGCATTAATACAGTGCGCGAGCTGACAGCGACCCCGCTTCCCTTCCCTCCCTCCGAAATACCCACCCCATCACACCCCACCTTCCTTCCCTGCCCCCTCGATCCACGGCTGAGGTGCCCAAGCTTCACCCGGCAGAGGATGGCCCCGGATTATCCCCTCTTCCCCGCGTACAGGCCGAGACACTCACAGCAAGCAGCTAGAAACGAGGAGGACGGAAGAGACCGAGACTTCCGCTTCCGGCCGCTTAAACCCTCCTACGAAAAAACCGGCTACGGTCTCTGCAACGGGTCAAGATTCATAGAGGCGTTTGCCATGCCCATTTCGGCACTCCTGCCCCCTTCTGGTCTAGATTAAAAGTGCAGCTCCACTAAACGTAATGGGCCCGCCTGCCTCCAGCCCCGTCTTGCGTCTTTCCCCTCCGTCTCTTCCCACTCCTCTCCCTTCTCATCTCCTCCTTCCTTCCTCCCCTCTCCTCCTCTTGTTTCCTCCCTCACCTTAATACCGCAAAACCCCCATCTTGGCTTTCCTAGGTTGTATTTCAGATTCAGCTGGAGGAGCTAACGCTATCTACCTTCATTAGACTTGTGTGTTGGGTGTCTCCACAGAGATTTTCTTGCTTAATTGAAAACCAAAAAAACCAAACCCATTGCCATCCAGTCAATTCCGACTCAGAGCGACTCTATAGGACAGAGTAGAATTACTCCATAGAGTTTCCAAGGAGCCACTGGTGGATTCGAACTGCCAACCTTTTGGTTAGCAGCCAAGCTCTTAAGCCACTGAACTACTAGGGCTCTCATTTAATCAGAGAACTCTCCTGTATACATTTGGGACTCTCCTGCTCAGGGTTACTCACATCTCCTAGTTCCTTGACCCATGCCTAATAGGCCATGCTTAGCTGGTCCTCCTGCTTTCCTCCTTCCATTCAATGAAGCTTTCCGCTTGCTGCTGCCAATTCCCTTAGGAATTGGTGTAGATTAAAAACAAATTAATACTTTCAATAGCTGGCATTTTTGGAGCACTTTCCTCAGGCAGGCCCTGAGCTAAGCACTTTACCCATATGACCTCTTGTGGTCCTCAGCGTATCTATAAGAGGAGGATGTCGTTATGACCAGTGTTCCCAATGATTTGGAGACCCCAGGCACCTGAGGGACCTTGTCCAAGGCCAGAGCTGGGAGAGGTGAAGTCAGGACTGGAACCCAGGCTGGTCAGCGCCTGGGCTCCTGACCACTTCTTTAGGATGCTTCCTGACAGACACCCAGGATTGCACACATACAACAAGCTGGCTAGCTTTTGGAAGACAATACTTCTTCGCCTCTTTGGTTTCTCCCAGCTTCGATCCCATCCACACCTGATATTATTTGCTTGAGCACATATTTATCCTCGGCTCTTATAACGGATGAAAAAGAGGCTCTGGGAAGCCTATGGTTATCGATTTTAGTTTTTATCCTCCACTTTTATTTTATTTTTAACCTCTCTACAAATGTCTACATTTTATTATATTTTTCCCCCAAATTTAATAACTGCACAACAGGAAGGAATTGCTTTGTGCTTATTATTACAGAATAACTCACCCGAAGAGAAGAGGACTTTCCCACAAATTACTGTGTGTCTCATGGGCTCACTCTCCTCCCTTTCTTCCCGCCTTCCCTCCTCCCTTCCTTCCATTAGACAGGCCCAGGTTGAGCACCTTCCTAGGGGTGCTGAGAACACAGGGAAGAATAAACCAACAGTCCCCGCCCTCAGGAAGATCATAAAATATCCTACTTGTTATTTAG